ATTGTAATCAGTGTTAAGTATAGTTTACGGTTGTGAAACATAGATTATCGCGTTAACTATGGTTTACGGATGTAAAATATAGATTAACGTTGTTAACTATAGTTTACAGTCCGTAAACTATAGTTTACAATCGATAAACATAGTTTATCGACTGTGAAACTATGTTTAGCTCATTTTTGTGAATTTGGCGTGCCATAGACGTTGACTGTGAATTTCAGGGTCTCTTTCTTTCTGCTTCCTGATGAATGGGACAAAAACTATCAAAATTAATGCAACTTTCAAAAATCGTCACATTGTTTGCATGATAAAAACATGCAAAGAGTCCTCTACCAAATCTTGAAATTTTATGACCCCAGGCCCAGGGTGTTTGAGTTGGGGTACATTAAGATCTATTGATAGTGAAAATGCATAAATTCGGTGAAAGCTTCTGCTCTCCCTCAGTATAATTATCAAAAAACTAAGTGCAATGTTATTCTGAGCAAAGGTGCCTCTCTCAAAATATTGAATATCATGGGCTCTGGGTAAGGGGTTCTGGTACTAGGGCAGGGTATTTTTGATTTTATGGTAAGAAGGCATTCTTTTCTTCCCATGAATATTTGGCAGACCTAGTCACCACATGCATATGATTAGCAAGGGTGCCTCTTCCAAAATTGTAAAATTCATGGCCCCTGGTAAGAAGTTCTGGGGTTGTGACACGGGTCTCGAAATTATAGAGAAAAATAATTATCTTTTAAAAACTTCTCCTCAGTCGTTGAGTAATTGGCACATGGTTATGATGAACTTTCCAAATAATAGTAAAAATTCATTGATTTTTTGAAAATTTTGGAAAAAGTAGAGTACACATCTTAATTTTATTAACAAGGCTTTATTAGAGAAATTTCATTATTTGCTCTGTTCTGGAAGAAGTTATTACCATTTGCTATTCACTTATGATAATTAATTGCTGTTTATAATGTAACTAATAGTTAAACTGCAGGGAAATACAATTCAAATGTATAATAAGAATTTAAGTTTTAAATGGTCAGGTAGACTTGTCTTTAATAGATAAATAAAAATATGAGATGAAATACTTTTTTGTATATGAAATGTTCTTCAATGACCATGCGAGGTCAGTTTGAGAGGGAGTGAGGAGATTTTTTGTGCTCAAGCACTCTATTGTTTGCTAGACTTTTATTTCCTTGTGACAAAAGAGGATGAATCACTGACAAGTACATATTATAGAAGTAAACATTAATAGATCTACTTTCTGGTCTGTAACAGAGTAAACTAGATTGTTTTGTTGATCCCTGAACAACATATTTCTGTTGATATCTGAAATAATAGATCTAAGTCAAAAAATTATATTTTATGAAGAAATCTTTAAAATAAATACCATATAATTATTTTTATACATATATATGTAAATCATAAAGAGGAGTAACTCCTGGTGTCCCACGTAATAATTCAGAAGCCACCTGTTAAATATACACGTCATTAGGTAAGAATAGAATCGAAAGTAAAACCCAACTCCATGATTATATTTATCTTGGTAAAGACTGGTGATTCATGTCATACCAGGGACTTCACCATAGCAGAACACAGTTTATTTGAAGGTAAGATTTTCAGCTGTTTTGTTCAAAATGATATATCGATCTTTATATGCATCGTGGATATGTATGTACCTCAGCTCGGCAACAATGACATGGGCTAGCATATACGTATATATACAAAACATGCTAAATCGAGCTTCTATTCTATTAACAATAATCTGAAAATAACACGTTTGTCTTGTCAATATGATTTGTATTTTATTTCTTTGTTATTTCTTTGTTATCAATCTTTATCAATTTTTCAATAAGTAATTTATTTTTAATAATAACTTTCAATTTATTTAAGTCTATCACTTAATCATATTGACCTTTGGGCATATCTTAATCATCACAATAAGGGATTAACGAAAGGCTAGCTGCTCCAGATTTTCAGGTTGAGGGACATTTTAAAAAGTTAAATAACGACAGAAAGAAGGACAGAACAAGGAATGTTTCCTAGAAATAATACAGGACAATTAACTTTTAATCAGTTTTAAAACCTTTTTGACAAGCATTGTTCAGAATGTGTTGTTTTAGTAAAATTGTTGAACTCAACACAAAAGTAGAAATTTTAGCGAGGATTTAATTTTGGCATTATTAGCGAGGTTGATGAGATCGCTTAAATTGAACATCGCTAAAAATAAATTGCATTTTATTTGTAATAGCTTCTTTAATATTTATTTTAAAATCGCTAAAATAACATCTCGCTAAAAATAAATTACCAGTTCTGAAGGACAGTTTGCTAAATTTGCCTCTCGCTGAAATTTCCACTTATACGGTAGAACATAAACCCTGAAGCTTTACACCGGGGGGGGGGGGGGGGGGGGGGTACGTATTTTCGAAGGGGGGTCAACAAAGTTTCATTACGACATCCCAGCTCTTCCTGAGATTTAGGAGTGTAAGGACTGTGTTTCTCAAAGAGAGAGAAACACAATTATCGAACATTTTATTTTTTCTAGAGTTTATAGATGACGAGTGTGTTGCAACATGTTTACTACTATAATACAACTGTAGGTCTTTGACTATCAAATTTCTAGCAAATATCATTTTATAAATAATACACTTACAGTAACTTTTTTTTTGTTAAAAGTTATTTTGAAAATAAAATTTTAATGTCCAGACATGAATTGCTATATTCATGCACAGTTGCAAGATGCAAGAATCTTTGTTTCACTTTCTCAACAGATGAATTTTTATTTCTTTAGAAAAATGCTGCAGGCTGAACGTTATCTTCAGACAAAACTAAAATCTTACTACAAAATCCTAGAGGATCAGAGTAAAGCAGTACCAAATGATGCCAGGCAGATCAGATACTGTAAGTACATCACCAGATTCGCTTCTCATTTCGGAGCCGAGCGTTGTGAGGTGGTAGGGAGCACAATAGAGGGGACACGACTCCGATCTCATAAAGACGAGGGAGACTATGATTATCTGATCATATCAGGAATCACCATTCCTGTAGAGGCTTTAGAACACAGAGAAGACGTTCCATGTTTTGTACGCGTACTCTCAGATAAACTGAAGGTATCTTTCTCTAGTGACCTTGTGGTAGATGGAAAGTACCTTCATAGTCGTATACTGAAATATCTGGATAAAGAAGCGTTTAAAATAATCCGGGGGTTATTTCATGTAATCACAGTTCCCACACAGAAGAAAGGCTCAGAACACATGGAATTCAATCGAGAGGCCAAACCTGGAATGACCCAAGAGCATTTTGCTGGTGTTGAATTACTGAATGAAAGTAGTTCTGGTGGCAATCATTATCAAACAGAAGCAGATGATCGTAGATATACTGGAAACACGGATCATTATTTTAAATCAGTAGTTGAATCCAGCAATTTAACACCGAGCATGAAGAACCTTCTAATTAATCTGGTCAATATGATTGCTGAATCGACACCACAAGATACTGCGCTGTTTCACACTTTCGGTGGATTGATAGAAGCGGTTTCGTCCTCTGAAGTGGGGAGATCTTCATCGCCGCAAAAATTGCGTAAACACGACCTACAGGAGGGGGCTGAAAACCCTGATGGAATGTATGACGAATCTGCTCGAAAATGCATCGTGAGGTTCAATTATAAAAGCAGCAAGGATTTTATTGCCGCCTTTCTAATTGAAGGAAAGCTAAAATGTCTTGAAGAATGGAAACAGCGGATGATGAAGAGAGAGACGGTATTTTGGCCGAATCCTGAGACTGTGGAAAAGATATATAATTCAGAGGTGTATATTGTGGCCAAACCAGCTATTGTGGAACCAAAGCAGTCAATTGATTTCTGTCTCGGGTTTAATCAAGCAGAATTAATTTTAGCACATTCTCTGGGTGCTGACCAAAAACTCTGCCTGTTGCTTTTGAAGTCTCTACAGAAAGGTTTTCTGGGAAGTTTCTCCAAGACTCTGACAACTTTTCACTGGAAAACTGCGTTTTATCATTCCTGCGAGCAGATAGACTCAAGCCTCTTTGATCGGAAATCAACTTTACTTTTGGCTCTTAACATGGTCCTATCTTATATGGCGGAATGTTTAGAGAAGGGCTATCTGAGGCATTATTTCATAGAGAGCAATTTGATAGCACACATTTCACCAGAGGAGGCTACTGGAATACGAGAAAAAATCAACGAAATCATACAGGATCCTGAGGTCCCCTTACAAGTTTATTTTGATAAGACAGATAAGGAAAAGAAACAGACAGAATTAATTTCAGAAAAAGAGTTACGTCAAGTAAAACCAAATGATTCCGAGTCAGCGAAAAAGTCAAAGTCCCATAAACTCATCGAAATGTGGTCCCAGTTTCAGGAAGCATCAAAGAGCGATGATTCCAAGTTCAACAAGGCGCTTCTGGATACTTTGTATCTAGTTCTCGAAGAGGAGACAGACTTTGACGTCAAAATACCCAGGACCTCTACACAAAGTGGAGGGTTACCCCAACTTTTAGCACAAGCTGCTCAATATAGAACGGGAAATTTTACAGACAGAGAAGAAAAGAAAAAGGCTCTTAACGAGCTTAGATCTAGTGCTTTACAAATGTTGTTTTCTATGTCGAAAAAATAAGACATTGTCCTCCTTACACGGTTATAGTGTATTGGTTATTTGCCTACAAGTTAACTCATGTATACTTTTTCTTTCTTAATATGCAGGCATTGTCTTTACTTTCTCTTTCATTATTTAAGGTCATTGTCTTTACTTTCTCTTTCATTGTATTTCTTGACATCTTGCCAGTTATTTATTTACATGTACCATGTTTTTTATACTGCCAGTGATATTTAATTAAAGGTACATATGTTATTTGAAAGCCATAAGATATTATTACTCAATTATGCTCCACTTTTTTATGTTATTATATGCATTAATTTTTTAATCCTGTTTATATATTTTTGTCTTATTATATTGGTATACAAATAAATGGAGACTTCAATTGAACTGACTCATGTAATTGTCAATAATTAATATTTATGTCATATGGTCATGCTGGATATATCTCCAAAAATCACACAAATTCAATTTGAAGAAAAAAGAATAATTTGCAAGGGAAAAGAAATTATGATTAAAACAAGAGGCTTATGGGCCTCATCGCTTACTTGTGTAACTTGGGTGATGCATTTCTTTACCAGATTTCCCCTCTTGTTATACCCATTGAGCCCTCCTTCCCTGTCATGATTTTAATACTTTAGAATCTAACTACCCCAGGATGCTTCCACATAAGTTTCAGCTTCCATGGCGCAGTGGTTCTTGAGAAGAAGATTTTTCCTATATATTTCGATGTAAAACTTGGATTATCTATTGTGGCCTGCCCTACCCCATGGTCGTGATTTTAACAATTTAGAATGCATTTATTCCCCTTAGAAGGGAACTAGGCCAAGTCATTTTTAACAATTTAAACTCCCCGTTACCCAAGGATGATTTGTATCAAGTTTGGTTAAAATGTCAAAAGTTTACAGACAGACAGAGGAGGGACATCGGGTGATCAGAAAAGTGTAAAGATAAAACCACATTCTGATCAACTAACCATTTTACATTATTCAACAAACAACCAACCACATGAACACTCGCCAACCATCATATCAGAGTGCACTTGCAGGTCTAAATGCCGAGACCTGGCCAAGTTCAGAAACAACAGTGCCATGTATGGGAGCATCCTCAGGTAATTTATTTAGTCAAATTTGCTCTAATCATGACCTTGGGGGAAGGGTGGGGCAACGATGGGTGATCATAATTTTGCAAAGGATATAGAAATAGTAAACCTCCTCTCAAGAACAGCAAAGCTTTGATGAATTATTCCATGAATTTCAGGTAAGGTAGATTTAGATTTGTTCAAATCATGATCCAGGATGTAGGGAGGAGCCACAAAGCCATGATCAGTCATATTTATATGAAAACATCTCTGAGTAGAGTAGATTCAGATTTGTTCAAATCATGCCCCCCCCCCTCATAGGGTGGGGCCACAATGGATGATCAAATTTTTATGAGTAATCAGGTTGTAAGGAAACAGAATAAGAATAATTATTACTCTGATTTATCAAGATTCTACAATTTTATTTACACATCAACAAAATAGTAACAAGTTATTTTAAGTTAACACCTCTTTTTCAAGTTATTTTAAGTTAACACCTGATTTTTTGTCAATAGAGAATTTCAAATTGTCACATATATCCTTTGACTTTGACCATTCAATTCATGATCAAGCAGTAGCTGTTTTTTGTTGTGTTTGTTTAAACTGTTCGATTCTCTCTAATAATGCGGGCCTGAAGTGTCGAATTAGTCCCTGTAAACAAAGGAAAGGTGTATTATAAGTAAACAATGAAAGTGAAAAAATAAATACAAGTAAACAATACCAAAGATTACACATATATAAGTAAACAAACCAAAGTGTAATATCATTTTAAAATAAAGAATTGACAACTTGAACACAATAGATTTTTTTGATTATTTTTGATAGACTTCTCAGAATTTTTATATATTGACAATTTTTTTTATCTCTTTCCTATGAGTAAAACAAGAGCCACATACCTGTACAGGCCAGGCAGCCCCGTCCCCCAGGGCACAGATGGTGTGACCCTCGATCTGTTTACTGATCTCATACAGCATGTCTATCTCCCCCTCCTTAAAGTTCCCAGTCTCTACAAAAAATAATCAGATATGTCTCTGTTTTCTCTTTTAATATATTTTACAATATAAAAGACTTGATAAGAAAAAAAATTGTCAAAAACATGGAGTCAAAAACTTCTGTGAATTTGTTGTTTACACTGTATACAAAGTTATTTTTCATACATCATCAAACATCTCAAGCTATTATCTTTCTGTATAATAAATTACAAAATAAAAACTTGGTAATGATAATAGAGGAATTTTACTGGACTTACCAAAACGTTTCATGATCTTTGCCATCCATCCAACTCCTTCTCTGCAGGGAGTACACTACAGAATAGAAATAACAGTGTAAGCCACAAATTTCTCAAACTAAAAGTGTATATTATAAATTTTCATCTGTAAATTTACCTCGAAAGACATACAGATTAGAAGTTTTACCTGACCACAGCTCTCGTGTTTGTAGAACTCGATCAGTCTAGAGATACACCTGATGACGTCTGCGTCTTTGTTCATGACGATGACGGCCGCCGTCCCCAGACTGGTCTGAGCTTGTACCAAGGCATCAAAGTCCATCATTACGTCAGAACACACACTGTATCAACATAAAATAGTACTTAGTATGGTAACCGGTCTTTCACTTTTGTATATCACATTGGAAAATATTACATACATTTCTAAGAATATTTCCTACAATATTGTTTACACATATGACATATTTGTTTCTTAAGAAGTTAACTCTCTAAACTTTAATACCTGATAGGTGGATAATCACATCTTGAGTCTTGGATGGTTCAAAATTCACAATATCATTCATATGAAACTTTCAAAAAAAGGGTAGGACTTGCAGTAACTGCTCTCACCTTTTAGGGATGATGGGGGTGGAGGACCCCCCTGGAATGATCCCCAGGAGGTTGTCCCAGCCCCCGATGACTCCCCCTGCGTGCCTCTCTATCAGCTCCCTCAGAGTAATGGACATCTCCTCCTCCACTGTCACAGGGTTATTGACGTGGCCCGAGATGTTAAACAGCTAAAAAGAAAAAGACATTCCCGAGATGTTAAACAGCTAAACAGGAGAACAGAGAGTGAGGATTTCATGTGTATAAATTTGTTTGTCAAACATTCTACAGTAGATACCTGTATAGGGACAGGTATTGAAGATGTCATTTTTAAATTTGTTTATCATAGGTCATTCTACTGAGTTTGTAAGATACATGGTGAGACATAAGGGTCTTTATTTCCTATTTAACTTGTAACATGAGCTTTGCTTGGTTACAGAGTCAAATTTCCATGCACCCGACTTGAGCCGGGTGTAAATAAAACGTAACGTCACAATGCATACTTTCTCTGATGAAAACCAAATAACATGACGTCATGATGCATTGTAGTACGTAGTTATCTTATCGATAGATTGAGACAAGTTGATTAGACTCTGATGTTTACAAAGAATTTTCATGGATACATAGGAAATAAGTTCGTTTTCCAGGTCCAATCAAGGGTGTATGGGGATTTACCCCGGGTTGTATTCCATACATCCTTCAGCCTTCGTCCTCAGGTTGTATGGAATAAAACCCAGGGTAAATCCCTGTACACCCTTGATTGGACCTGGATAACTAATATTGCAAATAAATAAGAACATTTTGTTTTCCATATACTGACTTACTTTAGTTCCCCTGTTCCTCTCCCTTCCAAAGGAAGCAAACCATTCACCTCCTCTCCTACAGATTGCCTGAGAACAAAAATAATGTTGAAACAATTAATACCTGATTAATGTCCAATTCTTGTACCTGCCCCTCTTTTATACCAATCAGATAATGTAATTCTTTTATAATATCATACAAAAATTCCTTTTAAATGACAATCAGTGTCCTCTAGACAGCTGTGTAATACTTACGGGAGCCACGGCCACGGTCTCCACATTAGCCACTGTGGTGGGACATCCAAACACCCCTACATCTGCTGGGAATGGGGGCTTCAGACGGGGCTTACCGGCCTTACCCTCTAGGGACTCAATCAGGGACTGTTAAAAGTTAATATAAAGTGTTAAAAGAGTTTAGTTATCATTAATATTTTTAAATTAAATTCTTCAGATCTCATATAATTTTACTTAAACATTTACTCTGTTAAAGAATTTTTCACAGATTGGAACAATGAAGAATGATTGCTATCAAAATTATGTACAAAGTTTAAGGAAAAAGTCTATATTAACAAATGTAAATTAATCTATTCATACATGTAAGCATAATAATAAATGGCTCACACCACCAGATTCAAGGACCTAACATTAAATAAGGACTTTACATGTTGTACGATAACTTACAGTTTCCTCCCCGCAGATATAGGCTCCAGCTCCGCGATGAACGAAGACGTCAAAGTCGTACCCAGAACCACAGGCATTCTTACCCAGCAGTCCAGCGGCATAAGCCTGTAGTTATATTACACATTATTAATAAGTGGTCATTAATGAGAAGTAGAAGGGGTGAGAATTACTTGGGTGACAAAAATGTCTTTTTTAAGTTCTTCGATACCTTCCACCTTTTGATATATTGTTTTTTTCTTTCTTAAAGTATCACTGATCAAGATTTCAAGATTTGCATTAAGAAGAAATGATCAACATCATTAACAGATACACATATCTGACAGTGGAATTTTCAACAAGAGAGCACCTGTTGAGTTAACTAACCTCATTGATGGCAACCTGTAGGTTAGACGCCTCGTTATAAAACTCTCCTCTGATGTAGATATAGGCTGTAAATACAGACAAGGGTCATTAGAATTTCTCTCAAACACAGCAACAATCTCATTAAAGTAACGCATACATAATACTAGTAGACACTGCCTTCAAGACATTTTTCTCTGAGGCAAGTACTCTCAGAGTAATAAAAATATCCCTATTTTCATATGGGGAGTTATTATAACATCTGTTTTTTCAACAATAATTGACCTACAATATTTTTAACATTAAAAAAAAACAGCTTTAAATCCTACAAATGGACAAAATAATCCACAATCCTG